AGGAATTTCTTCGAAATACCTATTAATTCTTCCTGGGGCACTTGCACATCCTCATTTGGGAGCTTTCAGCAACATTTATGTGCTTTTCTTCTGCAAGGACCTCTGACTTAAGGAGCAATTTAGTGATTTCAAGGTGAACACTCCAGAATATCACCCAGGTAGTGTTTTTGTCATGTGTCCTTCAGGCTTTCTCAGCAGGCCAGGGTGTGGGCTGAGCAGGATTTCTCGTCTCTGGGTTAGCTTATCTGGAGGCCCTGTTTAAATTGTCTTCTGGCTTTGGAGCTAGCCAGGGAACATGGCCAGTATCGGGGACAAGGCGGTCAGCCACACAGATGCCCCGAATATGACTGGAGGGGAGAGGGGAATTGAAGAGAGCAGAGTCACGTTGTTAATTGGGTTTCTCTAGGTGACACAGTTTTTTTTGCCATTCAGGTCATAATTTGTTTGGTGCAATGTTGGGCTAGGAGACCTGCCTTTCTGGAGATAAGGTGATAAGTTGCTGAGGAGGGAGACTGAACATTGAATTTCTCTCACTCTCTGTCTCTGTCTCTCTCTCTTCCTCTCTCTCTGTTTCTCTCTTTTCCTCTCTCCCTCCCTCCCTGTGTGCGTGTTGGTGGGGAGAGGGTCTGAAGGCTTAAGAAGGGAGAGTCTTAAGAGTCAGTTTAAACTGATTCATAAGTTAAACCAGTTGGGGTTTAAAATGGTAATCCGGGTTCCCCTTTAGGTGCTCCTCTCTAAGATGAACCTCTACCTTCCCTTCCCACCCTGGCTGTTGATTAACTCTGGCTGCAGGTTCTGTGCCTCTGGTGATTGAAATACAACAATAAAAAAAAACCGGGTGGGTCCAAACCTTGACCTTTGGCTTAAACCTGTGAGACTCTGCTTGGGCTTCTCTTTTCCTTTAGCCTCTTCTGGTAGATTGGCCTGGACCCCCAGCCTGGGATTTCCAGCAATTTTGCAAACACACTCTGACCTTGCATATGATATTTCCCTTCTGGACTTCTCTGCTTGAAGCAGTGTTAGCCTCCTTCCTCAATTGCCTCCTGCCTTATTTTCCTCTCTCTCCCTCAAGAGAGCCTTCTGACCTGCTCCCAGCACTTCTGTCTTTCCTGCCTCAGGCTTCTTAAGAAAGCATTCCCCTCCCACTCCTGCCACCCCAGTACTTTAGGGCTTGAAGGAGAGCTGTGCTTTCTTTGAAATGGGGCTTGAGAGGGCCTGCTTCCTCCTTGCTGCTGACCTTTCCTCAATGCCTAGTCCCTCTACTCTGCTTAAAGAGCTGCTTTGGCACTGTGGCTTATTCTGTACCTGTCTATCTTCCAGTTAGAAATTGGTAACCTGGAGAATTAACAACAAAGGTGTTTTCCTTTACATCATCTTGTGTTGGGGGCCTGGGGAGGGGGATGGGAGAGGAACGTATTCAGCATTTATTAGCTGGCCTTGAAGAGCCGAAGTTGTCTTTCTCCTCTTGTTTCAAGATAAGGCATGATATTCAGCTGGTGATTAGAGTAATAATCTGATATTAGGGAAGACTGAATTGCACTAATCTTTTAGCCACTTGTGAGGAGGCCAGGTGGACCTGCCACTTTGTGACCACGGGCACACTTGACCTCTTTGACGCACCATTTCTCCATCAGCACAATAGCATGGAGTTTTATTCTTGAGTTCAAGTCCTGGCTTTCTCACTGTGTAACCTTGTCCTAGCTCCTCTTCCTATCCTTACTTGCCACAGATTCTGCAGAGAGCCTTAACCTCGCTAAGGCTCTGTTTTCTCGTCTATGTAAGTGCAGATGGTAATAGTATTGAACTCAAAATTGCTGAAGATTAATGAAATACTGCATGCTGAGTTCTTAGTCCAGTTCCTGGCACATAGTGACCATATGCTAGCCCTTGTTGTTGTTAATTGTTATCAAATAACAATCAGAGAAGCCTTCCTGGATAACTATATCTGAAATAGCACTCCCTCCCCTGCTTTATTTTTATATACAATTTTATATAGCATTCCCTTAGTCTGCTTTATTATACTTTGTAGTATTCATCACCAGCTGACATATATATTTATTTTCATCAATGCTGACTAAAATGTAAGTTGCATGAAAGCTAGGATTTTGACTGTTTTGTTCATTTTTGCATCCCCAGTGCTTATAACAGTGTTTTGTACATAGTGGAGGTTCAGATGTTTGTTGAATAAATGCATATAATAACAAGTGAAAGCTCTTAGCACAATGCTTGCTTAGAAAAAGCATCTAATAACATGCTTATTAGGCTTCCTCTTGCCCTTCTTTTATAGATAAACTATTTTTTCTGAATTGTTTTGGAATTATATCTTGTCTGGTGGTAAACATAGTTCTGGAAGCCTCATCTGAGTGACGTCCTTTAAGAAAAGTTAAGATTATCTAAGAGAAAATTTGGGCTTCTTGTTTCAAACATTCTCTGTTTCCAAGCTTGGTTATATTCCAGAAGAATCCTCTGACTTGGAACTCTTGGCTTCTCACAAAGAACAAGTATCAGAGGAAGTGGACAGGACAAGGAGGGAGCAGACCCCAGGTGACCCCAGGCTGACCTCTTTCCTTTTGCATCACTCCTTTTGGTTGACCCATTTCATAAATCAAACAGCTTTGCTTTACTGTCCAACCAGCTGGAAGTTTTAGACTGCAGTGTCCTTGAAACTATGGAGCTATGCTCAGTGTTGCTGTATTGAAATAATATGGAGTGCAGTTGAGAGGGACTTGTTGCTAGGTAGTAGTGCTGATAGAGATGTTCTTTTTCCAGTGATTTTGTGTTGTGTCTGTTTTTTGGAGAAGTCTCTTACCCTTCCTTCTCTCTTCATGAGGCTGTGGAGCCAGCACCACTTGGGAAGCTGGCAATTCTGGGCATGCATTTCTAGGCGGCTGAGCAACTTGGGACTGCTACTGTGTTCTGATGTGCTAGCTGTCCAAATGTTGATGACAGATGCCTCAGACAGAGGAATGGGAAGACTGACCTACAGCAGAAGTAATGGCATTAAGTAGTGACATTTTTCTTAAGAGAACTGCAAATGGGGAATGGGGCTGTGTTGGGCAGCTAGTGGTGTTTGGAGTGAAGCGAAATGCTGCTTTGGCAAAATGATGGAAGAAAGATTGCAGAGAGCTTTGCTGGAACTATATGTTTACTCATTCCCCTGATGAGGGAAGAGACACTACCACCCTTTATGCTGTGGGATAGGACAGTTTGCTATAGCCTTTAGTGATACATGGAGGGGAGGATCTTTGGAAAAGTGAGATTCTGACAAGATAACAGTAAGAGGGTTAGCAAGAGACCCATCTGGTTCACCCCTTCGCACTTGCCCCAAGAGCTCAGTTTATACTGTATAGAATCCTGATTTCAGACATGGCCTCCTTTCCTTTCAACTTTGAACTGTGTGCCTAAGACAGGATAATTTACACAGTTTGCATATGTAGAGTGTCCAGTTGACATTTTGGGGAAAAATTGGCAGGAAGTGTGCAACTGCTCTTTACAGGTTTGCACTCTGGTATAGGTCTATAAATAAGGAATGCAGTTACTTTTCAACACAGAAACATAAAACAATTCTGGGACTGGATAGCATCTCCAGGAGCCATCTGAGAGTCTATCTGACTAATCTGTCTCCAGACAAAGTTGTGCCAGAGAAAGTTAATAATATCCTTTCTTGCAGCAGTCAGTAACCAAGCATTGTCAGCCTCCTGTATTGGGAATTAGGTTCTAGATACTATGTGGAGGATGTAATATTGTGCTCAGTACTATATTAAGCTATAAGGAGTATCCACCTAAGAAATGCCTTTGCAAGCTCAGGCTCCCTTTTCTGAACTGTTAATTGCTTTATTCAATATCTCAGAACCCTTGAGATCAGAAAGTTTTTGTTAAATCTGGTTGCCATGAATTATATTCATTTTTTATTATCCTGTGGCCAGTCATCTTGAAATCTGATGTCTAGTCTTTTCCCTCCCCCAACAC